CCATTGATAACTAGATGTAGGTGTGATATAGATGTATAATTATGAGTGGTCAGGTGTGGCTCATGTCTGTAATCCCAGCACTTTGGGAGGCCAAGATGGGAGGATCGCTTAAGGCCAGGAGTTCAAGACCAGCCCTGAGCAACATAGTGAGAAGACATCTCTATTAAAAAAATATATATATATTTTTTCCACTCTACCTTCAAAGCCTTCCAAAACACTGTTGTCAGTACACAAAAAAGGATAATAGTATTACTAATAGTGTAGTCTACTTCTTGGTCCAAAATAGAGAAGCAAAAATTACCAAGAAAACAATGAAATGAATATCAAAGAATTTTCACTCTTGACTAATTAACTGCAGTTAGCAGAGGTTAAAACCCCAGAAAGTCAAGAGTTAATGAGATGAAAGTTATTGAGCCCTAGTAGTGGTGACAAGTTAAAGAGGGCTATTTCAGAAGTCCCTGTACAGAATGAATTCATGGCAGCTACAGATTGCTGGGCAGTAGTAGCAGCAGTGAAGTATTCAGCTTTGAAAGTTAAGTCCCTGTCTTGAGGAGAACAGGCAGCTTTTGAGGATTAAAGTGAGTAGGCCATAACCTGTGCATGTGAAAAAGACGAGAATTTAGCTTTCAACTTGGAACATGCAGTAATAAGGGCAGGTGGATGCTGGGATGGAAAAATCTAAGTGGGAGAGGTAGGAGATAGGATGCTCTCATGGTATGTGTGGCCTGGAGGACTCTGGCAATCCTGAGTTATAATTATTAGGACAAAAGCTCAGGTTACAGAGAAAAACATGTAACCAAAGAAAGGGAGGCTAGGTGAGCACAGTTCTGAGGCTGCATTTCAATAAAGCTGGGTCTACTTGGAGTTTTTTTTGTTTTGTTTTCTTTTTGAGACAAAATTTTACTCTTGTTGCCCAAGCTGGAATGCAATGACATGATCTCAGCTCACTGCAACTCCCGCCTCCTGGGTTCAAGAGATCCTCCTGCCTCAGCCTCCTGAGTAGCTAGGATTACAGGTGCACTACCATGCCCAGCTAATTTTTTGTATTTTTAGTAGATACCAGGTTTCACCATGTTAGTCAGGATGGTCTTGAACTCCTGACCTCAGGTGATCTGCCCACCTCAGCCTCCCAAAGTGCTAGGATTACAGGTGTGAGCCACTGCGCCTGGCCTACCTGGAGATTTTTAAGGGCTCTCAAAAGCAACTTAACCTCTTCAAGTCTGTGGCCCCAGTGAGCATTTCTGTGAGCCCCTGGCAATGGTGACTGAGGACAGGAAGAATATAGCACTACTCAGGAAAACCAGTACCTTCCATCTTAGTGTATTGCTGCTTCAGCTTTAAGTTCTTTGCATGGGTCTTCCCCAGGTAGTGCGACTGGGCCACGACAGGGGAGAAAAAGGTCATGTTACAGATGGGGCAGCACTGGTTCTTGTCTTTGCTTCTGCTGCTCTTCTGGTTGGAGGAAAGAACACAGGTCTGATTACACCACTGCCCCGCCAGAAAACCTTCAATGGTTTCCCACTGCCCATAAGAGAATAGGGATTAACACACATTAACCCCAACCTACTTTCTAGATTCTTCTCCAGCTACTTCATCCCAGGCTCTATTCATCATCCCCCCACTTTATTCTCTGATGCTTCCTTGTTTTCTTGGGCCATTCCTACTGTCTAAAATGCTTTTTCTTCCTTTCCTGCCTAGCAGTGTGTCTGCTTAGCCTTCAAAACCCAATTTAAATATAAGCTCTTCTTCTGGGGAACTTTCACTCCAAAAAAAAAAAAAAAAAAAAAAAAAATTCAGTAAACAACTATCTAGTCCTTTTGTCTGTGTATTCCAGGAAGAATTAACCCTGCTCCTCTTCTGTACTCCCAGAGTACATTAAATAGACCTCTGTCATACCACTTGCCACCATAAACTGACAGTGTCTTAGCATAGGAGACTTTTCTGTGGATTCAAGTGTGACACTGGGACAGGGACTATTTGACTCATCTTTGTTTCCTATCCTTCACACCCAGCTGGAGTCTGGCACACAGCAGATGCTCAGGGTTTGCTGAACAAATGGACCATTGGGTTTTTTTTTTTTTTTTTTTTTTGTTACGGAGTTTCACTCATGTTACCCAGGCTGGAGTGCAATGGCGCGATCTCGGCTCACCGCAACCTCCGCCTCCTGGGTTCAGGCAATTCTCCTGCCTCAGCCTCCTGAGTAGCTGGGATTACAGGCACGCACCACCATGCCCAGCTAATTTTTTGTATTTTTTTTTTAGTAGAGACGGGGTTTCACCATGTTGACCAGGATGGTCTCGATCTCTTGACCTCGTGATCCACCCGCCTCGGCCTCCCAAAGTGCTGGGATTACAGGCTCGAGCCACCGCGCCCGGCCTATGGACCATTGGGTTTTGTGGGGTTGTTTTGAGACAAGGTCTCACTCTGTCAACCAGGCTAGAGTGCAGTGGTGTGATCTCGGCTCACTGCAATCTTCACCTTCGAGGCTCAAGTAATTCTCCCACCTCACCCCTGCAAGTAGCTGAATTACAGGTGCATGCCACCACACCCGGCTAATTTTTGTAAAGATGGAGCTTCACCATGTTGTCCAGGCTGGTCTCAAACTCCTGAGCTCAAGCAATCTATCCACCTCAGCCACCTAAAGTGCTAAGATTTACAGGCATGAGCCACTGCATCTGGCCTCCCATTGGGTTCTACGTGTTGATTATGATTAGGCTAGAAAACCATGTATTTCAAGACTGCATTAACATCTCTCTGAGAAAGCCTGATATCTGAATAGGGTATTTACTAGGTATTTGTCAACCTTGGCACTACTGACATTTTGGGCTTGGTAATTCTCTGTTGGTGGTGTAGGGGGGTAGGAGGTGGAAAGATGCTGCAATTTGTTTTTTTGTTTGTTTGTTTGTTTCTTTCTTTTTTATAGAGATGGGATTTCTTCATGTTGGTCAGGCTGGTCTTGAACTCCCGACCTCAGGTGATCCACCTGCCTCGGCATCCCAAAGTGCTGGGATTACAGGCGTGAGCCACCGCGCCCAGCCTAGATGCTGCAATTTCATTTGAACCACCAAGCCAGCCATCCTGAAGTTAAAGGAACCAAGGTGCAAAGATGTAAAATGACTTGCCCAGGGTCACAGAGTTGATCTTGCCTTTCTGAATTATAAATTATAAGAAGAGGGCCAGACGCAGTGGCTCACACCTATAATCCTCGTACTTTGGGAGGCTGAGGTGGGAGGATTGCTTGAGCCCAAGAACTCAAGACAAAGCATGACCCTATCTCTACAAAAAAATGTTTTAAAAATTAGCCAGGTGGCTGGGCACAGTGGCTCACACTTGTAATCCCAGCACTTTGGGAGGCTGAGACAGGCAAATCACTTGAGGTCAGGGATTTGAGACCAGCCTGGCCAACATGGTGAAACCCTGTCTCTACTAAAAATACAAAAATCAGCTGGGCGTGGTGACGCACGCCTGTAGTCCCACCTACTTGGGAGGCTGAGGCATAAGAATTGCTTGAATCCAGGAGGCGGAGGTTGCAGTGAGCTGAGATTGCACCACTGCACTCCAGTTAGCCAGATATGGTGATGTGTGCCTGTAGTCCTAGCTACCTGGGAGGCTGAAGTGGGAGGATTCACTTGAGCTTGGGAGGTTGAAGCTGCAGTGAGCCATGATTGCACCACTGCACTCCAGCCTGGGTGACAGAGGCAGATCCTGTCTCAAAAATAAATAGACAGACAGTTAGAGAAATAGATAGAAAGGAGGGAAACCAGGGATAAATAAATAAAATAAATAATAATAAGGGAAACGGGGGAGGGGTCCAGTGAATTTTGAGACAAGATAAACAAGTCCCTTCCTAACCTGTGGCTACCATAATAAGGAGGTAGCAGTTTATACAGTAAACTCTTATTTATTGAGCATCTATTAGGAATTGAAGCTTTACTTCACAATACCCTTATGAAGTAGGAATTATCTCTATTTTATGAGTGAAGTTCACAGAGGTTAAGTGACTTGGCCAAAGTTACCCAACCAGCAAGACACAGAGCCAGCTTGGAGCCCTAGTCTGCTCAACTTCTCTTCCCATAATGAGATGATACTCCCGAGGGACTGGGGGTTGCTTCAGCATAATGCTCATCGTATTTCTGAGCCAAAAACCACATGTGATCACCCCTCAATCAGAGCAGGCATATGGAAAGGTGTTCCTTCTGCTTATTTATTCAAAATATCCAAGTGCTGAACTTAGGTCTTTTCCCTGGCTCTCAAGAAAGCAAGCAGCCTGGCTTCTTTCCACTTTCTCTTGTTTTGCTCCAATAAACCACTAGGTGGTAACATGTAACACCAGCTCCATTACTGAGTCCCTACTACGTGCCAGGCTCTGAATTAGGTGCTTTTTATAAACATGCCCTCATTTTAGTTTGGAAAAATCTTGAAAGATAGTTGATGTTTCCATCCTCATTTTTATAGAGGAAGAAATCGAGACTTCGTGAAGTAACAGATTTGCCCAAGTCACACAACAGAGCTGGGATCTGAAGCCGAGACAGTCTGACTTGTTCATCACACCAACCTGCTGGCTGGCTTCATCAGGAAACAAGCAAGCTTGATATGGCAGCTGTATTACCTGATCTGAGTCTAGCTTCTTCGTTTCCCCCTTTAATGTCTCCATTCCATGGATTGCTAGGTATCTCTTCACTTTGTTGGCATGTTTTTTGCTCTGCAAGAACCCAGGAAAAAGATCAAAGATAGCCAAATGCCACTTCATACTGAAGGCACTCAAAAACACTTACTAGATTTTCATCTGACTCATCCTCACAAAAAGTTTTGAGAAGGAGGTGAGGGAAGTCTGAGTTCCTACTCTGTGTAAGGCACTTTACAGCTATCAAATTTAATCTTCACAAACAATCTATGAGAAAATTATGACCATTTGATGAGGAAACTAAGTCTAAAAATGATGAAGTTTCTCGCCCAAGATGAGTAGCAGAGTTTTGATTCAAACTCAGATCTATTTAAAGCCAAAGCTCATATTTTATTCTATGCCAAGCTGCAAGGGAAGATATACATATAATGATCCTGATTTGGATAGGAGAGATGAGACTCAGAGAAATTAAGTCAATCTTCAAGGCACAAGCCAACATGCATGAAGGCAACATCTGGGTGGTTAAGCAATTACACTTCACCATGCAAGCCAGGGAGAATGAGGGGCTTGGCACTGGATCTGAAAAGAAACGCAGTTCTAAAATTATGATGGCATACCTGGTAATGTGCCAGCTTCTGGGACTCAGAAATAAGCAAGGCGCAGCAAACCTTACATTGGGTGTTGGTGAAGAGACACTCGTTCTTCTGGATCATGTGCTCCACTACAAAGGGGAAAATAAGAAATCAGTGAGTTGACAAACACTACCTCAACAGCACTGTGTTTGAACTCTGCCTCAAACACAGGCAATGAATAATGGGATGCCATACTAGGACACTGGCGGACCTCAGCCAACCTCTCCTACTGCCGCCATGACTCATGCTATGTTCTCACACCACCTACACTGTTACTTATTTTATAATTTTATGTATGCCAACTTTCTTTACTTAGGAACTTCTTTTAAAAAGGAATCTTTAGATCATAAACTTAAGTAGATACCAATAAAAATAAGTATGATAAAAATGAGGCTTGGAGCATTCCCCAGGGAATGAAACTGTCTTAAGTTTCGGAATTGTCTCAGAAACTGTGCTGAGAGGTTTTAAGACATGGTAGTACCCAACTAAAACTTATTCCCAGATAGAATCAGGAGGACTGACAGGCTCGAAAAGGGAATGCTTTCTCATTGTTCTCGATTAACTTTGAAACATTTAAAATTATGTAACAGGGCTGGGTGTGGTGGCTCAAGCCTGTAATGCCAGCACTTTGGGAGGCTGAGGTGGGCAGATCACTTGAGGTCAGGAGTTCGAGACCATCCTGGCCAACATACCTCTACCAAAAACACAAAAATTAGCCAGGCGTGGTGGTGCACACCTGTAATCCAGTGCTACTTGGGAGACTGGGCAGGAGAAGTGCTTGAACCTGGGAGGTGGAGGCTGCAGTGAGCTGAGGTCATGCCACTAACTCCAACTTGGGTGACAGAGCTAGACTCCATCTCAAAATAAATAAATAAAATAAAATCACATGACATATTACATAAGTGCCATACTGTAGGAAACATGGTATTAACCTGTGCTAATTATTGGACCTGGAGAAGTCTTACCTTTTTGAGGAGAGGTAAAAATCTCTCCCAAGGCATTAGTTCTATCATGCCACTGGCAATATGTGGCAGAGGCAGAGTCTAAAACTGGGAGGGAGAGGAGGGCAAGCCCATATTTTAATCTCCTGGTCTCGGCCAAAGAGTGATCAAGGCCAGGCATGATGGCTCAC